GTTGAGCCAGTAGTCGTAGACGGCGATGACGAGGTCGTCCTGCCGCTCCAGCAGCAGCTTGGCCTCGTTGAGCGTCACCACCGTCTGACCAGAGCTGCGCTCCAACTTGTCCATCATTTGCTCGAACTTTAGTTCTGCACAACCAACGCAACTGTTCACCACATCGCATACAAATACTATCGCCAAATCACCGAGCTCATTTTAACAAGTTAAGAAGGCATTAATTGGATGTAGTTCTAAGAATCATTTTATATAAACCGTATCTTGGTAAACGAGGATCGATATTTTAGATCCTTTCCCACGCGTTTAACTGCCTTCACGTGTTTGATACTCTATACTCAATTAAGCCATTACTAAAGTTACGAATACTTATTTTCAGTTGACATAGTAACATAGTTTTAATCATATTCCTTTTACTAAGACGATTTCGTGTATCTTTGATGGTTTGTAAATTTGACGTAGGACTTAGTCATTCCAGATTACTAGCTAAACCAACAGAGCATGGACAGAATCATTGTTCGGACCTATACAACTACAATTTCAAATTGGCAAATACCCTGTAAACTGTTGCTTTGTCTTAGTTGTGGAAAACGTAGTTCTACAAACTCATTATTAGTTAAACACTATCAGAGGTGATGTATACCTGTGAGCTCCGGATGTCTCTGCTGCTTCAGCCATCTCTCGTCCTCCGAGTCGATGTCGTACTCCGGTGCCTCCTGCTCCTCCCATAGCACTGCAACAAATAGAATCTTCCATCAGATATAGACGTCGCACAGGTAAAAGTGATAATCTAAGTGCATAATGTTTAATAACATTAAGACCCTGAGATATTTAAAAGATTTTGAACTCCTAAATAATGTGAAAATATTTTAAAATTTATGCAGTACAATAAAAATGTAAAATGCTTCAAACAAAGCCGCTTACGATCAAATAATTGGAAAAGCCCGATAAATAAAGCAAAAAATCGTTTACCGGGCACTTCAGTGTGTTAACCTCATTCCATATGAAAAAACAAAGCTTCTTTTACGGTAAAGCTTTTGAAAACATTCCATCGATAGTCTATGTATAAGATAAACTCGCTATATAGGGTTTTATTAACAAAAAATATTCGTTCTACATAACTGTCCTATTTAACGTTGAGTTTCATTCACGTGACCTCAGCCGCTGTAAGAGCTCCTTGTGGCTTTTATCTCTTTATACTTTCATAAATTTAGGACAGGTATAATAAAGTTATAATCTTCGTAATGTTGAAAAGCTATATTTCCTGTTTCTTCCTACATATATGTATGTACATTAATATTGTTTAGACTCTTTGTTAGTAACGTTGTTCGTAGAAATTAATCTAAACCTCTAGGAGATATTTGGACGTTTGTTTACCTTATTCTGGTATAAAATATCTCCCACAAGTAGAATATACTACTACTAATATATTTTACTATATTTTCTTATAAATATCGTCGTCATAAATTCATATCGTGACTATATAGCAAACGGTGGTTAATTAAAACAAGTGAAAAACTTTTAACAGCTAAAAGAGATTGCTAGCAAAGTAAAACTTTCTCGGACATGAAATACCAAAAACCTCAGTTTTAAAATCAACTTTTAAATTAGACCTGCTAAGATTTATGACTAAATGAGTATCCATTAAGGTTGGAATAACATTTTATAGCACATTAATTTATTTTAGGCTTAATGATCCGTTAAAACTTTTCCATACACCGGGAGTCGAATGACGTTGTTTTAATGATGTAATTTTATACATTGTAATATTATATTGAAATCTGAGATGAACGTTCTATATTATAATGCATCAATTTCCTATGAAAACAAAATTATGAAGACAAGATTTGGCCTAAAGCCATCTAACGATTGAAATTATTAAAAAATCTTACGAATAGACAACCTGCAGAATACCGTATATTATAAAATTCATACTATCATGATTAATTATTGGACGATAAACTTTCTCGCCCCCTATTATAACGAAACACGATAGACAGGGGTGTTTCTCACGAGGTGATAACAACCCTAGTCTCACTAGACCCCTTGTCGAAACCCTTGTACACAAACATAAGTACACTATCGATTTTAAAGAGTATCCAACGTATAACGAGATACAATTAATTACAACAACGTAACATAAAATATCTTTACACAGGGGAGACAAATGTTAGTGAAAATTCTTACCCCTTTAGCCCCCAAATACCTGAGATTTCAAATCGCATTGGGCACCTAAAATCGACGTTATTTTAATATTAGCTTGTTTACATGTTACCTTTGACTGATAATCTTCAAGTTAGAAAACAAAAAGGAGCCTAGACGAGAAGTTGCTACCTTTGAAGGCAATACAATTTCTCGGCAACAAGTTTGAAAGACGAAATTTATAAAATATTGTTATGATTTTTTATTATTTTCCTTCGCGGACGAAAACTTTTGTATAATTTTATTTAAAAAAAACATGCTTTCAAGGGTTCTACTGGGGAATCTACTGATATAAGCGTAAAGTTCTATGTTCCTAAACAGAGATAAATGGATTAATTTTTTTAAATATTTGAAATGTATTTATTTGTTTTTAAATAAGTAACTTGAAAGACCCTTTAATTCTTTTTGGGTTTTTTAAAAAGCAACGCCTGACGTAAAATCGTAAAGCAAATTGCTTTGCAGCAGGGCTTAGGTAAATAAATCAGCTGGCCGGGCCACTGGGCGGTACAAGAATCAGCAACAGCAATAAATAACGGGGGGATGAACAGGGAAATCCTTTTGGGATAAGTATGCCTGATGTCAGGAATTGATAAGACCTTACGTCACGGGAAGTTAACACAGCAACGGTGGAGTAAAAAACTTTATCGTTTTGCAAATATTATGAACTAAAATCTCTCACTGCAACACCCAAGAGTCTGTGGTCACAAATATTTCATTAGTGTAGATTTTTTAATATAAATGTACAGTAAAGGGTCTCCTAAGTAACCAGATACTAACTCCAAGTGCAGCATGACAAAAAATTGGCAGTTCTATTAGCAGATTAGATGTCTGCAAGAACTTATTATGCACAAACATGGGTGTCGTCCGTGGGGGCAAGGGAGCAGCTGCCCTAGGGTATCGAAAAGTTAAAAATAGACACATAGAAAACTACTTCGAACCTAGACCAAGACCATTATTCGAAGCTGTGCCCACCCCCCTGCGTCTAAGCCTATCAGATGTCAGCGCAATGCGTGGTTTAATCAGCATATGTTATTCAGATGTGTTCGTCAATTTTATATCAACCAATATAGCTGTTAGTTATATTTTAAAATATGTGTATTTCTATTACCAGTCTAAAAGTCGGTAATTTTTCTGTTTCCTATACTTTGTTGCCACATCAAGTGTAAATACAAAGGTTGTGGAATAAAAACCTTGATCATTTCTTATCTCATTTAATATCAAGACTAATGTACCATTCACTTCATTGAAAAAACATGGAGGTCTGCTAAATATGACCATCTGATCAGACGAACATTCTCTACTAAACGCGATAAATCATCATTAATAATACCTAATAGTGTCATTACTTACGCTATTACCTAAAGAAAAGACATACATTTTGATGAACGAATTCAATAAATTTCTTTAAATACCAGTGAAAATGTTCTAGACTCATGAAGTTAGTAGAAATATCATGAAAGCTGCTCAAAGTCGGAGAAACCGTACAAAATTGTACGTACAGAGCTGAAGATTTAAATCGAGATTAGAGCGGTACTAATCGGAAATAGTCCGTCTTGAGAGCTGTTGTGTAACGCGTCCATGCGCTGCGGCGGCTGATGTCGTTCTGGAAGGTCGCGCCGTCGCTCTTCGTGTAATCAAATAACCAGACAAGTACGTAGACGACGACGTGCCGCACACGTTGTGACATAACCGAGAATACTATTTTCATTAAATGTAGAAGTTTGACAATTTTATGAGAGTTTCCACCGACGAAACATATTATGGAAAAAATAAAAGTATCTCTTTTTTTTCACATGTATAGTATTGTATTCGGAAATGGAAGAGTGGCTATTTCTATTAGGATCTAAAAATGTTGACGCAAATTGCTTTATCTTTGCTGTACCGTTCAATTAAGATAAATTCAGATAGCTACTATCAGAGTAAATAATAAAAAATATTAAGCGTCTGATAAAACTCTGTAGAAATTACTACCTACCTACCTAGGCACATCAAAATCATACTAAAGGTATCAATGTATCTTTTTCCCATTTATTATCAAGAATATCCTTTTAATTATTAAACCATGGTAGCCGTAGTATCGTGCACGAGCCCCACGTTGGCTAGTAAATGACATCGACACTACTACACTGGCAACGAGACTGTTCGCCACACTGCAATTATTTTTTACACATATACATACATTTCTTTCTATGAATTATAAATTTTTCGTTGAAAATATTTGCATAATCTATTAGTCAGCTAGACGATAAGCTGAAGCTATTATGATACAGAGGTGGCCATAATAATACTTCATCATCTTCCATATCGATCTATCTTCCGTCGTTTCACTCGTCACTAATTAAAATAAATAACATTGCTTAATTTGCTATCCATTTACGATAAAATTTCTAAAGTCACGGTTAAATTATTTCATTTAAAATCCATGATTTGAACTTGAAGAATTTAATAAAAACGAATGATATAATTCCCTTGCCAATGCCAATAGAAATTCTTAAGTTTTCGACCTACTTTGATTCCTTTCTTTTACGTTCGCTCGAATAAACTTTTTGTTCTACTCTTAAATTTCCCACAAAAACTTTTGGGTTACGGGAATTAATAACGGTTGAATGGATTCTTTGAGAATACCGCAGTTGCTAAATTTTAGTCGACGAGATTTATTTCCGCGTAGAGTCAACAAAAATTGAGGCACATGCAATTCCGTTTTTTTTTTACCTGATATTTGACGACGGTACATAATTAGGATAAGCCGTTTTGTTTCCCTTAAAAACTATACCGATACCATATAAGTTATAAGCTATGTTAAGTGTTGTGTATGTTATTTATATTGTACATAATTGAAACCACTTTAATATTCATGAGTTTCCTTTCACGTTCTGGAGATATGTAGTAACAAACAAGCGTCCATCCATCCATCCATTCAAACTTAGTTTTTAATTAATGTTCCAAGCACGGTTCCCATTAGAAATTGCTTCCAGTAACACTTAAAACTACGTTATTTGCAATGCTCAATGGGATTTAAATCTACTTTTCTCAAGCATTACGTAGTATGGCTCTTATCAGACATACTTAGAGTGACGGTTGAATTCTAAGTGGGTAAGTTATATAGTGAAGTGCATATTTATACTGTAACTTGACAAAGTCATTCATGTCTGCACTTAAAATTTACACATTACCATAAATAAATTCAATGTTTTATGTAGAACAACTATCATTATAAATATACTACGATGACGCTACTAATTTTTTTTTATTCGGAAAGATTTTAGAAGCTATTAGTTTTGTTTTAAAATATTTACAACAGACAACAGGTTATGTATAACTATTGTATAACGATATATTATAGTAGGTAAACCAGGCTGTTTTCTATTAAAATAGTTTATTTGTGAGGGCAGTCCAAAACTGCGAGAACAAAAAGCTTTCGATGTGATTTTTTCAAACGTCCAAAAAGTTGCTGATGTAAAAAATCATTAATCCTTTTTCAGAGTAATCGGATTGCCTTTTGCCAGTTTTATTTAGCTGTGAAACGAACAC